TACTTAGGATAAACGTTTATTCCAAAAATAAACTTATCGAAAAATTAGAATCCCATCTCAATGGGAAGATGCCAACACGTCCTTATGGACTTTCACGTGAACGCCACTAGCGTCCAATTCCAAATTGGACTTTTGGTAAAATTACCAATCCCATTTCTTATGGGTTTGAAGTCAACTTTCACGTCAATCCAATTAAGAATTGGATTGATCAAATTAAATTTTTCATTAATATTATATATAAATATTTATTATATATATCAACCAAGAGATATAATTTAATTTTCTATTCCAAATAGAATACTTCAATTTGTTCACAATATTAATTATATCTTCTGTGCTAGCAAAGAATATAATAATATTTCATTTTGACTAATAATTTATTTATTTAACTAATTAAATTCTATAATTTAATTATCAAATAACAAAATAATTAATCCTTTAGCAAAGATCAGAACACTCGTTAGTGTGCGACCCCATAGGTTAAATACTAAGCCGGTAGCAAATTGATCACATCAATATACTAACCAAGGGTGGTGTCTAGCAACACTCCTTAACGACCGGATAAAATGAAGTATACAATTTACTCTCAAGAACCAGTAGAAGAATAATGTAGTAATTCCTTCGGTCCTTATAGCTCTGGATCACCCTAGGATATAGTTCAACTGTCAAATCCTAATAGGCGACCAACTATGTGTTCATGTTAAATATAATCGACCGCTGAATGACCTAAGAAACTCTTTTCTTCTTTCATTCAATTGCCCTGGCCAAGGTCTTAATTTAGTCGTTTATAATTTATGACAACATGGAGCTTAAACTCATTGCCAAGAGTTGACAGATTTCATCTCGATAAATCACTAATTCTACAAGTATTTAATCGCACCCAATATCCTTTCAACTATTGCCCTAGGGCCATAGGTGTCTAGTATCAAAGTACAATAAATAACTTGTCAATTACTATGACGATCTCAGGTCAAAGGAAACTCTTACATCACATTCTTCAAGAGAATATCCTATTGACAGTTTATGGTAATTCTAACCATTAGGAATTATCCAATGAGTCGGTTCAATGATCATATCTCTATATGCATCATCTATCTATGTAATTTAGTTAATGAGATCAACTAATCTTTATCCCATAAANCAAAGGAAACTCTTACATCACATTCTTCAAGAGAATATCCTATTGACAGTTTATGGTAATTCTAACCATTAGGAATTATCCAATGAGTCGGTTCAATGATCATATCTCTATATGCATCATCTATCTATGTAATTTAGTTAATGGGATCAACTAATTTTTATTCCATAAAGACGATCACATAAATATTGATCTAACCAGATTACTAATGTCCAAATTAATAATCCTGCGATCAAGAACAAATTTAGATTAAATTATAAGAAACTTTACTCTCATTATCATGATCTCCATCACAATGTTAAATCTCAAAATTTAATCAAGGATCTTATCAAATTAATCAAGCAATTAATAACAATGATAAAAGAATATCAAATGCCATACATATTTTATATCAAATAACGTTCACAAAAATATGTTCAAATCATCAAGTATGATATTGGATCTAGGGCATATCTACTATATCCCTAACAACAGGTCGATACTTGCTAGAACTATCTACCACATATGGCAGGAAAAGAACTGTAGAGTGTTTTAGCAGACTAAAAGGGTATTGAAGATGTACTAGACTGATCGTGCAAGAGGTACATTGTAGACTGCTGAATATACAGATTCAATTGCCTACACTAAAGAATGACATTTTGACACCAAAAGCAGACACCCGACACAATACTTCAAATGATTCAACACCGTAGATATACTTCAAATGGAGAACTCACTGACCCCAACTTCTAAATTTATTTCTTTGTCATCAATTCTTCTTGTATAACAAATTAACTATATCTTCATTTTGCCTGCGCTATTATATTGTATCAGCAGAAATGGCAACTTGTGCAAACACTATATATGGGAATATTAGAGTTTGTTGTAACCAGAAAAGAGTTTAAATTTTATACCTTAATGTTGTAAGAAAATATTATTTACAACACCTATTTTTATTGCTTACCCCGGACTCCATATGTACTACGAATATCTGATTGAGATCATTAAAGAGAATGCACAACAACAAATTAAAAGCTTTAGAACAGCATTTGAGTCATTTCACCCGCACAGTAAAGGGGTAATGACGAACATACAGTTTTTTTAGAAAAATGCAGAGAAGTCGCTAACACTGCTCTGCTACATTAAACTAACAATCTTCTCATAAAAAGATAAGTATTGGAAAGCACTTATCAAGAACTTGAACAATGTCCAAACAATACAGACAATTACTTATGAGTATAGCCAGCAATCATAGTGTTCCAAGAAACTAAATCTTTGTTTGGCATTGCTTTAAAGATCATTTCAGCTGAACTCATATCATGAGCCTCAACATATCCATTAAGAATAACATTATAAGCAGTAATATCCTTAGGCATATGATTAAAAATTACACTAGCTTTTTCTAGTTCACTTTTTTGTATAAAACCAACAAGAAGTGAAGTCCATGTCACCACTGTCTTCATTTCCATCCTATTGAACAGTTTGTCAGCTGATTCCATATCTCCAAACTTAGCATACATATCAATCAAACCATTTCCAAGATTATCGCTAATGTGTATCCCTTTCTTTATTACATACAAATGAATCAACTTCCCTATACCAAAATCACCCGTTTTCAAGCACGACGAGACAAGTCCAAGAAATTTAACCGAGTTAGGCTCAACTCCGTATCGACACATCTCATTGATTACACCAAGAACCTCATAAACACAACCATTTTGACCAAGATCATCAATGATCACATTCCAAGAAACAATATCTGGTTCAGGAATTTTATCAAACAGAATCATGATCTCATTAGACAAACCAAAACTAGCATACATATGTAAAAATGAATTTACAATATGAAGGTTCAACATATGTCCAAATTTAATTACTGAACAATGTAAGGCTTCACCAAAAAGTACTCTTTAGTACTAGACAAAGCTTTAATCACAAAAGGAAATGTATAATTATTAGGAACAAAACCATAATGCAATATTTTAACATAAAAACTCACTGCTTTACTTGGATTAAAACTAGAAGCATAACCCCTAATGAAAGCTAAGGTTACTATAAGCAATTCTTAACACCAACAAGAAGAAATTTTAAGTTCAGAGTTGCAATAAAGCTAAGGTTGCGATATACTTACAAGTCTCTTGCGATACTCCCCAATGGAGACAGAGCCGCCTGTGTGAGTCCCGGTGGAGACTCCACCCCTACCGCCACAACGATTATTTGCATTTATTTCTGACTTTTTAACACACTTGGGATCTTTCCAAAGTTGATCCCAACTTTCCCAAACTTCTACTGGAACGCCTCTTGGCCTAATTTTTTAGTTTCCATTTTGGAAATGAAATCTTTGTACCTTATTGATGGCTTATTCTCCCATTGGCTCCTCACTGCACTATCAATGGAAGAGTCCTAATAGAATTTCTTCTGAAATAATTTTATAAAGTAATAACATTAATATCTTATTTATAATAGTTAATACACTTCCTAATTTCATTATATAATGAGAAGTTATACCTTGAATTCTCCCTAGTAAAAGTTTTTTTATCTCGTTAGAGACACTTTTCCAATTGATTCCATTGGGATTAAGTTCTTGCTTGAAAGATTTAAATATTTTTGTCGAGCATAATCCACTAGGTTCTAATATGAAAAAATTTGAAGACAATAGTTGAAGGGGTATCATAAATCAAAATTTCTATATAAAAAATAATAGTAAAAACATGGACTAACCCTGTAGGAGCAAGAGTAACAAGTGTCCGCTGCCCGCAACTACTCGTGCACTCACCTTCGCCAATTGTGTTGCTTTGAGTAGATATTCCCTCACCTATTGGGTTACTCTGATCAGGTGTATTAGGAGATGATTCAGAATGGATAGTTGGGGTACTACTATGACCTGATGTTTGAACGGGTGTCGTACTGCTAGGAGCTAAAGTTTGTACTTGATTTATATGATTCTGCCCAACTAAAGAACTCGTACCACCTTGTTGAGGACTAATTATAGGAATGGGAGCAGAAGGCATATTTGCACGAATAGCAGGATTACCCCTACCCCTAACTGAGACTTGCCTCCACGAGTTATGCTATCTCTGCTCTCCTTCGAGTCATATCTACAAAAAAAATTACATGTAAGCGAATTAGAGTCATAAATTGGTATAAGTCAAGAATTAAGTCCCTACAAACAGAAAACATTGGTATAAGTCAAGAATTGGGCCAAAATTACTGCTAGATTTTTCAATTTTATAGTAAGTGATAAATTTAGGGAAATGAGTGAGAAGTTAGACATCAAAGAAAAGCAATAAATATAGATATATTCTTGTAGATAACATTCAACTTAGATTACAACAAACAAAACATATAGCATTCAGCTTAGATTACAACAAACAAAACACAGTAAGGTACATCAACATATTTTTAATTAACACATTAGTCACTATCTATTTCTTCTACGAAATCTTTCTTATCATCCTCTGTATCTTCCGTTTCATACTCTTCTTCTTCTTCTTCTTCTTCTTCTTCTTCTTCTTCTTCTTCTTCTTCTTCTTCAGTTTCATGTTGATCTAGCAATAATTCATCATCAACGTGCTCATCCATTTCAATTAAATCCCCATTTGGATCATGTAAGAGTATATTTTCATCAACGACAATGTTCATATCTATCACATAATCTTCAACTTCTTCAACTTGGAAGGGGAGATTCGCATCTGAAATTGCCATCACTTCCTCATTGGGTAATTCAACAACATGCCGAGGTTTAACTTTCAATACAGCTAACCAATCCTCCTTGTCCTTTCTCTTGCTAGGATAAGGAACATAACACACTTGAGTTGCTTGAATCGCAAGAATCAAACGTTCATATTTTTTATATCGACGGCGATGGTTAACATCCACCAATTTGTATTGATTATGCTTTTTAACACCAACATTCATCGTTGGGTCAAACCATTCACACTTGAATAATATAGTATTCTTTAAAGGTTCTTCATGGTATTCTACTTGTATAATCTCTTGTATCCGACCATAGTAGTCACCAACATTTGGATCCGATATACAAACTCTATTGTTCATTGTTGATCTTGCGCTACCATGACTTTCTATGTGAAATTTATATCCATTAACAAAATACACTGAATGACATATTGCGCTTGTTAATGGTCCATGAGCAAGGCTACGCAAGAATGCATTATCAATATGGTTGCTTCGGACCTATTTAAAAAATTGTGAGACTTAGTTAAATTTAACAAGTCAATTTATGTACATTATTGTATAAAAGTAAATTATTGTTGGAGGCTTACATATTGCTTGAACCATATAGAGAAATATGTTTCAAGATTCTCATCTATTTGATCCTGAGATAGATTTAGATATTTTTCTTGTAAACGTTCCACGTACATACTTCATTGCAACAAAATAAGTTAAAATTAGTGCTTGTGATATATGAATATTTGTTATATTAAGCAAGTATAACTTTCAAATGTTACCTTACAAATGGCTCAACCTCTTTACAATTTAGTAGAATGTAAGTTTGGGCAGCCTTGATTTCTTCCAAGGATAAACTCCTCTTTTTTGCTTCTCCCAATAGTCGACCTGGATGTGTAAATATTAATAAATGTCCTTTATGATCTTTCATAACACCACCCTCATCATTCCGGTCCACATTATGATTACGTGTAATGACACGAGGTTCAAAATAATGAGAAAATAATTGTGTTGACTCTGTCATCAAGTATGCTTCACAAATAGATCCCTCAACCCTAGCTTTATTCCCAATCATTTTTTTCAAAGTTCCAAGGTACCTAAATAGATAAATGAATGGACCGTTAAATTAAAAAGTCATGTGTAGAATATTTGTCACTATTATGACATAGAAGTTTTAAATTTACCTCTCAAAAGGATACATCCATCGATATTGTACAGGTCCAGCAATTCTTGCTTCATATGGTGTGCATGGGCAAATGTTCCATTGAGTTAAAGAACCCCTGTGGAAATATACGTTCCAACTTACACATAATCTCTCCATGTCAGCCACTCGTAGAGTGGTCAAAGTAAGATCTTTAAAAAATAAGCTCAATTCTATAAGTGTCTGCCACACATTACTAGAAAGTAGTTCACGAAAGGCAATAGGCATTAATCGTTGCATGAACTCGTGGCAATCATGACTTTTCATGCCAAATAACCTAGACTTGTTTGTCTCTAGACATCGACCCAAATTTGAAACATACCCATCTGGAAACTTAAAACTTTTTACCCAATCGAATAAGATATCTTTTGCTTCATTGTCTATTGTACATGCAGCTTTGGGATATTTTCCACTAGCATCCTTTGCCAACTGAGGTCTATCGCAATAGGTTAGCATATCCAGACATGCTTTGGGATTGTCTTTGGTTTTGTCTTTAACATTAAGAACTGTGTTAAATACATTATCAAAGATATTTTTTTCAATATGCATGACATCAAGATTATGCCAAATCTTGTTAGAACTCCAATAAGGCAAATCCCAAAAGATGCTTCGCTTTTTCCATCCACAAGATTTACATATTCTCGAATTAACTACTTGTGCATCTTCCTCTATTACTTTTCTTAGCCCTAACTCACTAATTTGGTTCAAAATTTTCTCTCCCGTTCTAAGTGCTAGTGGTAGCCTTTTGACAGTCTGACCTTTAAGAAAGCCTTTATGATCTTTCCTAAATGGATGATGTTGGTCAAGGAACATTCTATGACTATCAAACCAAGTTGTTTTCCCACCATGACATAATCTAAAAGATTGTGCTTCCTCCATACAATAAGGACATGCTAACTTGCCAGCAGTACTCCATCCTGATAACATATAATATGCTAGAAAGTCACTGATTGTCCACATCAAAGCCACCCTTAATTGAAAGTTTTGCTTTTTTGAGATGTCAAATGCTTCCACACCTTCCTCCCATAACAAGGTCAATTCTTTTATTAGAGGTTATAGAAAAACATCAATTTTTTGTTTAGAATTGGTTGGCCCTGGAATAATGACAGTTAAGAACATGTACACCTCTTTCATACACATCCAAGGAGGTAAGTTGTATGGAGTGACAATCACCGGCCACGAAGAGTATTTTCTTCCTAATTGACCAAATGGTTGGAAACCATTAGTACATAAACCCAGCCTCACATTCCTTGGTTCAGCAGCAAAAAATGAATGATTTTCATTGAAGTGCTTCCAAGCCTCAGAGTCTGATGGATGACGCATTACCCCCTCCTCTTGTATATGCTTATGATGCCATCTCATGCCATTGGCTGTAGCATGAGATGCATATAATCTTCGTAATCTAGGAATCAAAGGAAAACAATACATTCTTTTATAAGGGACTAATTTCCTCTTACGATAACCAACACGACGTTTAAACCTCTCGTAGCCACAAAACTTGCAAGATGTGAGGTCTTCATCGTCACCCCAATACAGCAGACATCCTGAATTACAACAATCAATCTTTTCAACCGGCAAACCCAAGCTACGCACTAGCTTCTTGGTTTGATAATAACTTTCAAGCATTATGTTATCTTCAGGTAAAGCCTCTTTCATCAATTGCATCATTTGGTCATATCCCCTCTATGATAAAGTGTTCTCCATTTTAATGTTTAATATCCTAGAAACTACTATGAGTTGAGAGCGGGAAGAACCAGGATACAATTCTATATCAACGGCCTTTAGCAAATCATAGAACCTTTGAGACTCAGGATTAGGCTCCTCCTCCATTGAATGATTAGCCTCGTCCTCCATTGAAGGCTCAAAATGATGAGGCGACTCAAATTTAGTATTACTATAATATTGCCAACTAGAACCCTACCCAAAGTTGGGTCCAGCTGCATCTAAAACCATTTGTCGGTATGGATTATCATATCTTAATGCATGTTGAACACCACCATGTAGATCACTGTTAGAAGACTTCACGCCAGTCACATCTTTTCCCCTTGATAGTTCCAAAAAGAATAGTTTTCAACAAATCTAAACTTAAAAAGGTGCAATCTAACTGTTTCAACATCCATGTATATAATGTTGCAACATTTTTTACATGGACATCGAATATTCTCACCACTCATGCGATTTCGCTGAGAACGTGCAAACAGGAGAAAGCTATCCACGCCAGTTACAAAATTAGAATTAATACCCCCTCGGCCATCCAACCTCTCGTACATCCAAGCATGCTCTAAATTATCCATACTCCTATTTAATATAGAAACAAAACAGGATAATCAAACTTCTTTTTTCTACGAGTAAGATAATAAGAAAAGAAATCGGGTGTCAACAAGCAATTCCTACACAACTCGACATAATAGAGGAACAAAGTAATAAAATGGAACAGAAGCACAAATAAAGGGAGTAAGAACGGGTTATGACAAAAAATATTAAGATGGAGCAACAAGTCAACTAAATCTACATTCACTGCTGTCAGTTCAAGTCTAAGCTAAATTAGCATTTCTCAAGAATAAGTCCAACATCTGGCAGCATGTAGCCCATGAGAGCTCATATAAACTAGGAGATTCTATATCATATTTCTAACATTGTAAAATGATACGCCATTTCATATACTAGAAATTGCCCCAGTAATATTCCGGATTATTCAAATCCCATTAAGAAACTGTACATGTCGGGAAAAAAATTAAGAAGCTTTGATGATAATGTTAATAAATGGTAAATTATAGTATACATTTTTTGGAGCCACATTTTTTTATTTAAATTCTTGCGAAAATCTAGTAGCAAGAGAAAGAAGAAAAAGACAGAGACATGAACTATATAACTGATAGAATAATAAATTGTTCCTTCCATTAGCTAGGGGGAAAGTATTGAATATTATCAAGGAAAGATGCCATAATTTTTCCCCTTGGGAACATAAATTTGAAGACCATAACCTCTAGTCAGCATAGAAGCGCGTCAGATGCGGGACATTAGCACTAAAGTTTAAAGAACAAACACTTAGGTTCTGGATCTAGAAGATTGACATCAACTAGGTGTTCAATCCAGCTTGAACCCAAAGCATCATCATCGTTAATTTTAGTACTTTTAGTGCTCACAGTAGTGCTCCAACAAATTACAAGTCTTTAACCCCCCAAAAATGTTAATTCAACACTTTCCAGTAAATAGAGAGTACCCAAATACAGAACATGGTCTTGCTAATTGTAAAATAGATCTGTTACCATCTACAAACCTTAGATTCACGTTGGCTACTGATTTTTTCTCTTGTTCTTTCCCTCAAGGTATGTCTTCTACTGATTTTGCTCCCAGCCGCCTAATTTTGCTCCCAGTGCGTTTCTACTCTGTTAGAAGAAAGACTGATGTTTAACTTATTTGTGCCCTAGGGTAAATAATTAAGTGGTATTCAGCGACAGATTTAGCTACGCCTCAATTTCCGTTGCTAAAAATAATATTATTTTTCATTGAAGAGTACATTATTGACGGAAATTTCCGTAGCAAGGTGGTTTAAAAAATTTTGATAAAGAAATTAAGGCTAGTGATGGATTTTTGGTTGCTAATTATGTCGCTGTAGTTAAATAAATTTTGTCGCTCCGTTTTTGTAGCTAAATCCATAGGTAATTTGAGGACGCCAATATTTAGCGCCAACAATTAGCGACAAATTTTTGATTTCGTCGCTATATTATATACTAAGTACTTTTTGGCTTTTTTTTGCAATGAAACTATTATTCCGTAGTCAATCCGTTGCTAAAATATGTCGTTAAATGTTGTTTTTTTTTGTAGTGTTTGATTCAATTCGTTTGGGGTGTGATTCTTAGTTTTAGCATTTTTTGGTGCGTTCCGAGATTTCGAGTGAGTCACTTTTATGATTTCAAACTTGTTGGTATGTGCCCGGGGTGTTAATCGGATGAGGCTCGGACCAAGTGTGGACTTGGAAAACATCAACTGAAGCACAAGACTTCTGGTGTAATCGCATATGTGAGGCTAGGGCCGCAGGTGTGAGCTCGTATAAGCGGCCAAGGAAGGTCAGCCTAGGATCTGCAGGTGCGCCCACGCTTCACAGAAGCGGGACCCCGTCCGCAGAAGCACAGCCAGCCTGCCTGGGCACTTCCGCAGAAGCAGACTTCTGTCCGCAAAAGCGATGACGCAAGTGCGGCCCTGCGACCGTAGGTGCGGAATCGCAGGAGGCAGTGTGGTCTTTTAAAACGAGACTTAGGAATTTTTGCTCAGTTCTTACACTTCTTGGGGGCGATTTTGGAGCTAGTTAGAGAGGGATTTTCATCAACTAATTGAGGTAAGTAATTTCTACCAAATGTGAGTTAAATACATAGTCCATGGATAGATTATAACATGTAAGATAGTAAAAATTATGGGTTTAGGTGAAAATCTAGGTTTTTGCTAAAAATGAGATTTAACCACAAAATTTAGTAAAAATCACATATTTGAGTTCGTGAGGTTATGGATAACAACCTTCTTCAAAAATTTCTGAAATCCGGGCCCGTGGGTGAATTTTAGAAACCATACATTTAGGGTTGGGTAATCACTTTAATAGTTGGAATATGAGATTTTGAATATGTATTAATTAGTTTATATATAATTTGAATAGTTTTGGATTGTTCGACACTGAATTGAGGGTTTGAGCATAATCTTGGACCGGAAAGTATGCTTTGACGCGAGGTAAATCTCTTTTCTAACCTTGTAAGAGGAAATTAATCCCATAGGTGAATTATAATTAATATGTGCTCCTATATATGGGGGATACGTACGTACGAAGTGACGAAAGTCCGTAAGTAGCTACTAATTATGCTATCGTCCAGGTAGTCTAGGACCCATACCATGCTATACATGAAATGTTTGCACCCCTACTTGTTAATTTAATTGCTTAAGTCATATTGGAAATTGATAAAAGAATTGTAAAAGGCTAAATTCACTTATTTGAAATTGTGAATGAAACGCTTGACTGTTAAAGAGAATTTGTATTTTTTTATAAATGTTTTCTATTTGAGGATTGGGCCGAACGCCTCGGTAGCAGATAGATGCATCTATGGTTTGTGTCGTTCGACCCTCAGCAGTGCACAACTTAAATATTATGTTGGATCGGGCCGTACGACCTCAGCATAATTTGCGCATGATAAATCTTTGGAATCCATTTGTAATTGATATTGTTCATTTACTTGAAATATAAATTGTTAAATGATGGAAAGTAAACTTGAGATATATTCTTAGCGGAAAAGTGCTTATTATGCCTGTTTTCGAGTTCTCTGTTATATTTATGCAATCCATGCTTAGTTATTGTTTGACATCTTATTGATAGCCCATAGTAAGTGTCAAAGTCGACCACCTGTCACTACTTTTTCGAGGTTAGACTGGATACTTACTGGGTACATGTTGCTTATGTATTCACGCTACACTTCTACACTTAAATGTACATGATCTGAGGCAGGTGCATCTGGATATTAGTCCGACGCGCATACTTGCTCCCTATTACGAGACCGCACAGTGAGCTGCCCTTACGGGCCGTTCTGCAGCAACCAAAGTCTTTCTTTTGTTTATTGTTCTGTCTATTTTATTTCGGACAGTAGATTAGAAATCTTTTGTATATTCTATTTGTAGCCCATACACTTGTGACACCAGGTCTTGGCATACACTAGTAGACTTATGGTTTTTTGATTTCATTTCTATGGTAATGATTGCATTTATCTGCTTTCGTCTTAGTTATTTTAAATCTGTTATTTATTAAATCTTTTAAATTAAAGAAAATTATTTACTTTAAAAACTTATTCAAAAATGGGAATTCACTAGATTGATCACTGTTGGCTTGCCTAGCAACGGTGATGGGCGCCATCACAACCTAAAATAGAATTGGATCGTGACAACATGATATCAGAGCACTAGGTTCACGTTGGTCTCACAAGTTATGGGCAGGTCTAATAGAGTCTTACGAATCAGTGTAGAGACATTCATACTTATCTTCGAGAGGCTATAGGGTGTTAGGAAATTACTCCTTATTTATCTTTTATCATGCAGTTGATGGTGTACTAAGTTTCTTTCTCTTATTCTCTCACAGATGGTGAGAATGTGCACGACAGATGTTCGGACCCGGAAAGAGCTGCTCCCCCTATTGCTAGAGGTCGAGGTAGAGGCTGGGGGAGGGCACTAGCCTGAGGTAGGGGACGAGGATGCCCCAGAACTGCCCCAGTTGCACCACTAACAAATCCAGTGGAGGATCCCATCATTGAGGAGCAGGGCGAGGTGCCTGCAGCAGAGCCAACCCCGGTCGATTTCATGTCAGCATCGGGTATTCAGGAGGTCATGGGCTGTATGCTGCGGTTCATGGATACTATGATCCAAGCTGGTTTATTTCTCGTAGACCCAACCACGTATAAGGCGGGAGAGGGAGCATAGACCTATTATTGGACAGGTATATTCCACCCTCTTAGAGGGAAGAGTTGTGGTTCCAGTTTGATCAGATCCAGCAAGGTAAGATGTCAGTGACCGATTATGAGGCGACATTCTCCGAGTTATCTCTCTATGCACTTATGATACTTCCTACTGAAGCAGAGTGAGTGCGGAGGTTTGTTGCAGGGTTGCACTCAGGTATTCAAGCTACTATGGCCCGGGAGGTTGAGCAAGGGACTTCTTATCGGCTTGTAGTGGAGATAGGTTGGTGGATTGAGGGTTACCATCAGAGAGGTAGAGAGAAGATGTAGAGGGACAAGAGGGTCCGTTATTCTGGGGAGTTTAGAGGTGCTTGGGCTGGGGGTCGAGGTCAGTTTGGGAGAGATCAGCTTAGCAGGCCTACATATCCAGCAGCACCACCTCCTCGGGGGTGCTCCGGCTCAACCCTATTTTAATGCCCCACCATCCATTCAGGGTTCTTCCAGCGCCTACTTCAATGCCATGCCAGAGAGTTCATACCGCCCACCAGCTATTCAAGGTTCTTCGAGTGGGTATTCATGCTATCAGGGGCATAGTTCAGGGCAGCAGATCACCGCACCGAGAGGTTATTTCGAGTGTGGGGATCTCAATCATGTGAAGAGATTCTGCCCCAGGCTTTGAGGCAAGGCAGTGCAGCAGGGCCAGCAGCCCATGATTACAACACCAGCTGTTCATTCGCCTAGAGGCAGAGGGCAAGTGGGTAAAGGCCGTCCTAGAGGTGGATTCCAAGCAGAGGGAGGTCAGCCAGCTACTGTTCAGTTAGATGGAGGCCAGCCAGCCGGCGCTCCAGCCAGGTTCTATGCCTTTTCGGCCAAACCAGATGTAGTGGCCTTAGATGCCATGATCAAAGGTATTATTTCTGTCTACGGTAGGGATGCTTCGATATTATTTGATCCAGTGTCTACCTATTCATATGTGTCATCTCTATTTTCTCATTTCCTAGATATTCCTTGTGAGTCCTTAGGGACTTCTATTTATGTGTCCACTCAAGTGGGTGATTCTGTCATTGTGGATCGAATCTATCGGTTCTGTGTACATTATGTGGTTATGAGACTTCAACGGACCTTCTGTTGCTTGATATGACCGACTTTGAGGTCATCCTAAGCATGGACCAGCTATCCCCATATCACGCGATCCATGATTTCCATGCCAAGTGTTGCTCCCAAATGCACATGCAAGTATACGTGGTCGTACAAGTAATAAAATGATAAGTCAGGTGTAGAACCCACAGAGACTTGTATCAACCACCCACTAAAATCACCAAGATTGTTATTCCGTCAAGTCAAAATCAAGTTCAAGAATGTGATTATACTAAACTATAATTCTAATTTATAACTAAATTATCAAGCAGTAAATTGGTTGTTGTGTATTCAGTAGAGACAAATATTCCAGGGTTGTGATCGATTCACCAATCTTATTGTGTTCTAGTTAACTCTCCCTCTCATACAATTCACTCATGGTTGCTAATTAATCGATAATTGCTCTCATAGCCTTCTCCCGAAGTACTACTCGCTTATTCAAAATAGATTAACGCCTATATTCCTATGAAATCAATCTATTAAGAACACATTAAAATTACGATATTTAATTAAGCACGGTGACTAGGTATATTACTATCCTAACCACAAATCCGCCCCCTAATACTTAAGATCGTGCTCTCTTAAATTCTTCTCTAATCTAAACACGGCTTTCCCAAGCATAACATAGATAGTTAGTACAACCTAATTGTTGGCCAGACAATTAAGCAATTAATTACAGAATTAGAGAAACAATCATATATTAGTGAATTGTAATCACAGTTAAGTAAACGTTAAACAACAATATTCATGGCTAAATCACAACCCCAGAACTATGGGTTTTAGCCACTGATGATAATAGCAAACAATTTCATAAGTGTTTGATAATTGAAAATACTAAGAAAAGATGAAGAAAACTGAGATCTCTTCGCTCCCGGATGTTTCTCGTGTGTATTCTCCCTCAAAAGTGGCGTCTCTCCCCTCACAAATAAGTTTAGTCTTGCTTTTATACATGTTGGGTAGGTCTAGAGCCGAAAT